ATATGGCGCCTTCTTGGGGGAATATCGCGGCCCCTTGGGGCCATCATGGGGCCTCCAAGGCCGCACTTTGACGATTTTGGTGTCCTTTTCTGGCCGTCTTGGGCCCCCCCGGCCCCCGCTTCCACTATTCATGGGGCCTGCCGAAACTGTGGGTTTTCGAATGTCCCCTGAATGGTGGGACCCCCCCAAAAACAAATTGTCTGGACGTCCCTCCGGGCGGGCCGGGGGTGGCTTTTTCGTGCGCGAGCCAATAAAAACAAGCCGCGGCGACGCGCCAAACAAGGGGCGGAAGCGGCAGGTCCCCCGAAATCTTAGAACATTGTGATTTCCGGTACTTTTTCTCTAATAATTTTGGGGGCCTCGTGGGGGCCTCTTTGGGGCCTCTTGGGCCACTCTTGGGAGCCTCTTGGGTGCCTCTTGGGGTCCCTTGAGGGCCTCTTGGGGGCCTCTTGGGAGCCTTTTAGGGGCCACCAAAAGCTTCCAGAATGGGTCAAAGAAAAAACAACAAATCTTGGGCCTTTCTTGGGGGCCTGTTGGGGCGCTCTAGGGGGCGTCTTGGGGCGCTCTTGGGGGCCTTTGGGGGTCGCTGGGGGCCGCTTGGAACCGTACGAGCAGCAGCAGCAGCAGCAGCAGCAGCAGCAGCAGCAGCAGCAGCAGCAGCAGCAGCAGCAGCAGCATGGAGCAGCAGCAGCATACAGCAGCAGCAGCAGCAGCAGCAGCAGCAGCAGCAGCAGCAGCAGCAGCAGCAGCAGCAGCAGCAGCAGCAGCAGAAGCCGACAACTGACAAATCGCGCGCAGGCTGACCCCCCCCCCTTGGGAGAAATGACGGGGGGTCGGGTCGAAATTGACCCCTGGAACTATGAATAACGGCGGAAACGCTCCACCACTAACATCCCCCCCGTTGACGACTGAACCGGCTCGAATGCACTTACCGGGTCAACCCTTCATAACCGGGGGTGATTCCTCTTCCTCCTCCTCCTCCTCCTTTTTCTCCTCCTCCTCCTCCTCCTCCTCCTCCTCCTCCTCCTCGTCCTCTCTTTTCCTCCCCTGTTCCCTCCCCCTCTTCCCCTCGCCATCCGCGCTCATCCCCTCATCATATCCGCCTCCGTTATCCGTTTCCGCTCGTCTACTCTTTGTGGAGACGGGGGGAAGCGAGGAAGCGGAGGTAGCGAGGGCAGCGGGCAGGCAGCAGCGGCGAGGGACGGCGGACGGGGACGGCGAAGAAGATGGAGACGGACAGGGGCAATGACAGGTACAGAAACAAAGAAGGATGGAGGGTACGATGAAGTCCCCTCCTACGATCCCTCTCTCCATCGTTCTCTGCCACCATTTGTCTCAGGCGCGATGCGCGACCGAGGCGCCGTCTCTGCAGTCAAGCGGGGACGTGACTGCAATTCCAAGACGTGGCTCCTCAGAACCAAGGGGAAGCCAAACGCACTGCCTGGAGCACGGTCTTTCGCAGTTTGCGCAGCGGGCCGAAACACTTGCCATGCTTCGACTCGTCGCCACGGCTGCGACCGGTGCATGCGTGCGTTGGCGACTAGGGGGTCGTGGACTGTTTCGAAGGCCTTCTCAAGGGCAAAGCGCCGAAGCGTGCGGCGCACCAAATGGGCCTCTAGCGAAAAATATACCGGTTACTTCTGGCCAGACCCGACAAGTCCAAAGTCCAAAATGTGGAAAGACATCTGGGAGAGCAAGGCTTCAACGAAGGGCGCGTCACTCCTGTCGCTGAAACTTGCAACCGCCAGTCATATGAACACGACACCTCGCGCATACGGCTGCGCAGTGTCCGACAAGACCAAGTGTATGTTGCCAACTGGCGACGCCGTTTCTCCATAATTAGCACAGCCGTCGCTGTGTGCGATCAGCGGAATCGGACGCTCCCCCTCGTCTCACAGGAGAGCAGAATACGCCGTGTCAGAAATCCAAAATATTACCCCGAATCCGCTCACCATCGGTCAGGGCGGTGGGGGCGAGACACCAACGATCAAAGAGGACCACCTCCGCAGGGCTGTCCACCGGGCCCGCAAAACTTCGACGAACTCGAAACCTTGGCAACCACGACCGGACGACTTCGAAGGGGAATGGCCTTGACCCTCTCGGGCTCGGGGCCTGGCTAAACTACGACGAAGCCAACGACCGCTTTCCTCAGAATCACTTTCGACGCCACCCCGGTGCTCTCAGACATTTGTTTTCTTATGTTTATGTTTTGTTTTTTTGTTTCTCTCTCTCACTCTGTCTGTCCGACGACGACCACCCAGGAGCACGACGCCGCCCAGGAACGTCAGAACATGGTGGGCACCCCGGAATCCATCCTCAACCCCTCCCCATGCGTCCCACCAAAGTTCCGACGGGGGTGGGCGTGAGGCTAGGGATGATGGCCACCACCATGCCACCGGCACCACCCAACGTAAGTGGCGTAGGAACACCGTCACGCATCATTTGACTGCGGCGAACACTCAACATCAAAGGGGGCCGCGAATGCATTCTCATCGCCAGCGTAGACGCGCTTCATCAGCGAGCCAACCAGCTGGCGTCTTCCCTCCACCAAATCCACAAACTCAGCCCCGCTGCTCGACAGGACATACCCGACCTAGTGCTACACTCCGCCGACATGCGAGAGCCTGGCCAGCAGATCCGACGCCTGATCGTGGAGAAGCACAGCTGGGCGGCAGCCGTTGCGGAGCCCACCCGGCTGACAGCAGCCCCATCGCGCATGATGCTCACAAGCGGGGACATGCAGATGCCAGAAGACGCCGTCTACGACCCGAGGTACCCAGCGCTGCAATTTGACGCGCAAGCGCTACTCGATGCGAAGAATTCCGAGTTCCACGTTGACGACGACAACACGGACTACACCATAAAGCAAAACATCGGCGGCCTTGTGCGCGCCCACGGACAGAATCCTGCGCCATCCCAACTGACGGCAAGCAAGCATACCACCAGCGAAGATGCGCCGTGCCACCATGGTAACCCTTTTCCGAAGTCTACCAGCCCGCCAAGTCAAACACTTGTGGTGAGTCAGGAGATCCCCCCTGGCCGCCCACAACCACACGAGGCTCCAAGCCTCTAGACAGAACCTGTCTAACGGAGGCCCATCAGCGCGCCAGCTACAGTTACCAATGTTGTCCAAGTTTTGCTCCAGCACATCGACGGCAGGTCCTCCACCCTGGTGACCAGCTGCTCCCATCTACATCCTACTCTCTGCGCCATCCTTTCACCAATCAGCCACACTCACCGGACCGACAGCAGGTGTAACAGCTGCTTCCCACCGACCACTCCCTCCTCGGCAACACCGACGTCGTGATGCCCACACGGCGGCTACGGCAACAGCGGCTATTTTACGTATGCATGCCGTTATTCTACCAGGAACTACCGACCCCTTCCCACTAGTGAAGCGGGGGGATGCGGAGGGTAGCGGCGGCACTTTCCCAGGAAAGTAAGCGGCGTGGATGGGGCCTGCAAGATGCATTTCGGACCGAAGTGGCCCTGTGGGCGCCGCTCCACGGCAGCCTCCAAGCCTTCATCGACGCTCAACGCGCGGCACACCAGTGCCAGCACCCCTCCGTATCATCGGGCCGCGAAAACACTTGGCACATGCTCCGCCGCCTGTTCTCTAGGTTCGCTGCGGGGGATGCCCTACGGCGGTGCCGCTCACGTTCCCCATGCGTTTTTGCGACGGGTGCGCAGAAAGGGTCCCTGAATGGCCTGATCACCGCGTACTCGCTTTGCTTTCCAGCCCGGGCCTCCTGTAGACCTCGCCAAGGGAGGGGTCATTCCACCACCCCCGTTTCGAAAGCGGCGCTGTCCGCTTTGTGAGGAAGGCCTGCGCGGCGCTCGTAGCCACGTGGCATGACGAACTTCGGCTCGTCGACCTGCTGCGATCTCTCCATCGCTCTCCCCCCATCTCTCTCTCTCCCTCTCTGCCCTCCTCTCTCCCCCGTCCCCCCTCTCTCTGGAATAGGTCCCCAAGTGTCTCCAGAAGGCGGCTCCTCGGAAACCCCTCGAAGGTCCCTCGGAGACCTCCGTCCCAGCTCTCCCCAACTACCCTCCTCCCTCCCGCTGATGCACTGCGGCGGGGCTGTCGAATGACGGGGCCACTCCATCACGGGACCCAAGATCTGACGAGGACTGGGACTCCAGACGTTCGCAGGACAACACTCGAAGACAAAACGTGGCAATGGCAGGGAGTGAAGGGGGGGGAGGGGGGGCGTACCACGAAATCTGGGCAAGTGGAGTTCAGGACGACGATGGAGCGCATCTAGGATCAGGACAAAAAAACGAGGAACAAGGACGCGGGGCAGCGATCGACCAGGACATGGGCAAGGGCACGGACAAGACAAGGCCGCTCGGGACCTTGGAGCAGGGGTACCTCCGACGAGGCAGGAGCAAAAGGTGTGAGGCTCCTGCGCTCCTACAAGAGACACCCTCGATATGTCGCCGCGCCGTTTGTTCTAAACACGCCCAAGTAGACGAAGCGGGCCGGCACCATGGCAACCGCAAAACCTGCGTCTGAGGCGGAGCTTGCCTTGGTCAACAGGGAAGACTCCGCCTCAGGCGCCTCGAACACCAGGGCCTGGTGGTCGAGGCGCCATCGCAGAGAGGGAAGGCCGCGCGTCGGAATAAACGGCGCTCTGACGTATGAGATCTTGATTTGAGAAATCTTGGGGGCACACCCTTTGTGGATCTCTGAGGCCCCCCAGGGCTTCTGAGGGCCCCTCCAGCCATCAAGGATACGAAATTACCCCCCAAAAATGAATGGTCATAAACTTTCGGAGCTCTGGGAAGATTTCTTGGATCGGCGCTGAACGCCCCCTCCCTGGCGCGCGGATGGTGCCAAGGGCGGCGCCGGGGGCGCCGCCAGAGGCTCAGCGCGGAGCTCCGAAAGAACATGATTATGCCGTTGCTTCTTCTTCGGCAAGTTCCCTGCCTCATCTAGTGGCAGCCCGGAGCCGCCCCGACGGCTTCGCCCGCCGCCGTCGCCCGCACTCGCGACGCGCCTTCAGAGCCTCCCTCAGCGCGGCGTGCGCCTGCCGGAAAGAGATGAGCTGGCGCTGCGTCTGCAGCAGCTCCGCCATGCCCCGGTCCACCTCCGCAGGCGAGGCTCGCCGGACCGTGTCGGGCAGTCCCCCGTCCCCCCCCCCCTCTCTCTCCGCCGACCCTCCCCGCTCCTCCCTCCTCGTGCCTCCTCCCCCCCCGTCCTCGCACACCGACTGCGTCGAATCGCTCGTTCTCGTTCCCATCCCTCCTCGCACCTCCTCCCTCCTCTGCCATGTCCCTCGCGCCTCCCCCATCGTCCCCATCGTCGTTCCTCCGCTCCTCCGTGCGGATGGAGGGGAGAGGAGTATGGAAGGGGAGGGGAGCAGGAAGACGAGGAAACAATGAATGGTGGCAACTGGCGCCGTAAGGTCTTGAAGGTCTGAGTTGTGGAGGTACGTTGGCACCCCTCCCTGCGGCCGTCTTCGTTGGCCGAGGGACCCTAGGGAGAGCCTCGGCCCCCTCCGTTGGCAACTGGTGCCGTAATATTTTGGTTGATTGGTGGGTGAGGCCGACCAAAGCGGCCCCAATGATGGCAGCCGCAAGGGGTGCGAGGCCTATGATGGTGAGGCCTATGATGGTCCTCGCCTAAGTGGGGCTGGGGAAGAGGGCAGAAGGTTCGAAGCGGATGTTCGACGGCAACGTCCTGCAAGCGGAGGACACCTCGAGCATCGGAGCTACGCATAAGTCCTGACAGGGGCACCTGAAATCGGGAACATCAATGACCGGTGCCATACTTACGCGTCCAGTGCATTACTTCCAAGTCCTTCCGCGATGGCCCCGCCGCCGATCGCCAGGACATCCCGTCAAACGCACCCCCACGGTGGTTCAACGGCGGGTGGACCGGTACGCCCAAAATGAACGGATGGCCCAACACGCCCAAAGGCACGGAGATTCAACAGCGGATGGGCCAGTACACCCAAACACACACAACCACTCACCCCGATTAAAAAAGTAGAAGACTCAACACCGGATGGGCCCGTACACCCACCGAAAAAGATTCAACAGCGGATGGGCCTGTACACCCAAACACTAACACACACACAACCACCACACACAACCACACAACCCGATCTGACATGTAGAGAGTTTCAGCCCCCGCGTATGGCTGGGCTGGCTGGTGCCTCCCAAGGCAATGGAGGCCTCGCTGCGCACAAAAATCTTGACAAGGGCACCTGAAATTAGGAACATAAATGACCGGTGCCTTATTCACGCGTCCAGCGCATTACTCCCGCGTCTTTCCGCGAGACCCCCGCCGCCAAGCGCCAGGACATCCCATCAACGCAGCCCCTCTGTAGTTCAACGGCGGGTGGACCGGGACACCCAAAATGAACGGATGGACCAGTGCCCCCAAAACACGGATTTTCAACAGCGGATGGGCCAGCACACCCAAACGCACACACACAACCACAAACCCCGAACAGAAAAGTATAACACACACGCAACACACACGCACGCGCACAACTACACGCCTCGATCTGAGACGTAGAAAGTTCCAGCCCGCCGCGCACAGCTGGTTGGTGGCTCCGAGGGCAATGGAGGCCTCCAACGGTCCTGGCAGGGATACCTGAAGGAGGGATGTAGCTCATGAAGCAGATCTGTTCGGAGGGAGAGGAGAGGGGAGGGAGGGGAACGGGAGGGAGGGGAAAGGAAGGGAACGCCGACGCAGAGGATGGCGAGAAAGGAAGGGGAAGGGGGAGAAAAACAGGGAAGGGGGAGTGGAAAGGGAGCGAAAAGGAGGGGGGGACGGGCAGTTGGGTTGGGGACGATAGGTGTTGGCGTGCCCCAGCCTGCGGTTCACAGTCCTTGAAGTTCTCTGGTAAAGGGTGGGGAGCGGGAGCGACCACATGAATGACGCCGCGGCGGCACATGTGACGCCGCGGTGGCACGGATCGAACCATCACCCCGGTAGGGGCTGGGGAGAGGGAGCGACCGCATGAGTGACACCACGCCGGCACATATGACGCCGTGGCGGCACGGGCCGACCCGTCACCCAATTTGGCATGTTGGAAAAATGGGTGTGGCCAGTGCGCCGTAATGCGGAGGTGGAATGACGTTGACAGGCACAATCAACCGGCAGGGGAATAAATCCCGTTCACGGCCCTGAGGAGGAAAACAATGACTGGTGGCAACTGGCGCCTTAAAGTCTTGAAGGTTTGACTCGTGGAGGTACGTTGGCACCCCTCCCTGCGGCCGTCTTCGTTGGCCGATGGACCGTAGGGAGAGCCTCGGCCCCCTACATTGGCAACTGGCGCCGGCGCCAAGACGCCCCCAAGATGCGCCGAAGACGGCCTCCGGAAGCCCCAAGAGGCCCAAAAGAGGCCCCAAGAGGCCCCACAACGGCCCCCAAGAGGCTTCAAGTTGCCTTCCAGACGCCCCCGAGAGGTCAACCACGAGATCCCAACCAACATCCATAAGGCCTCCTCCTCCTCCCCCTTCACCCTTCCTCCTCCTACTCCCTTCCGCCTCCTCCTCCTCCTCCTCCTCCTCCTGCCCCCCCCCTCGTGTTGTCTTTCGTCATCTTCAGGGTCGGCGGCAACGGCCGTAAGGCCTTCGCAATAAATCCCGTTCACGGCCCTGAGGAGGAAAACAATGACTGGTGGCAACTGGCGCCTTAAAGTCTTGAAGGTTTGACTCGTGGAGGTACGTTGGCACCCCTCCCTGCGGCCGTCTTCGTTGGCCGATGGACCGTAGGGAGAGCCTCGGCCCCCTACATTGGCAACTGGCGCCGTAATGGTGTATTGGTGGGAGAGGGCGACCCAAGCGGCCCCGATGATGGCAGCCGCAAAGGGTGTGAGGCCTATGATGGTCCTCACCAGTGATGCCTATGATGGTCCTCACCACGGTGGGGTTGGGGAAGAGGGCAGAAGGGTCGAAGCGGATGTTCGACGGCAACGTCCTGCAAGCAGAGGACACCTCGAGCATCGGAGCTGCGCAAAAGTCCTGACAAGGGGCACCTGACATAGGGAACGTAAATGACCAGTGCCATACTTACGCGTCCAATGCACTACTTCCAAGTCCTTCCGCGAACCCTCCGCCGCCGACCGCCAAGAAATCCCGTCAAACGCACCCCCACGGTGGTTCAACGGCGGGTGGACCGGTACGCCCAAGATGAACGGATGGACCAGTACGCCCAAAGGCACGGAGGTTCAACAGCGGATGGGCCAGTACACCTAAACACACACACAACCGCACACCCCGATCAGAAAAGTGGAGTTTGAGGAGTGAGTGGGGATTGAGGAACGAGGGGAGAAGGGAATGGGGATTGAGGATCGAGGATGCAGAGAGGACGACGGGGGACGAGGAAGACCACCACGAGAATGTGGGCGCATGAAAGGGTGCACTTGGCGAGCGCCGACGCGCACGCGCTTGAGAGCGCCAGCAGGCCAGGCAATCGCAAAAAACTCAAGGAGTGCGCAGCGGGCAGATGGGAGCGAGGATGACCACGCCTGGGAAGAGGACCCTTTACTAGAACCGCAACATGCCTGGACTCTCTTAGGGCCCCACTTCAACCTGACACGATGCACAGAGTTTCGGCTCCAGGGGCCACAACAAAATACATCGTACCATGCCTTGGCCAAGGGTCGGCGACGTCTTGGGTGGCGCCAGCGCGGCACGGCGCAAGCAAGCTGTCCGCGGGCCATCTCTTTTTCTTTCTGCATGCGTAAAGGGCATTGGATAAGGAACCATTCGAGAAGGAATGCAGGGTCTGGAAGCCGGTGGAACAAGAATTCAGGCTTGGCCATGGATACCACCGCCGCCCTCATCAGATAAGAAGTCCTCCAAGGCCTGGAGCCTCGTGGGCAGATCCCTTAACGAACGCCCCCATTTTGACTCCTCCCTGCCTTATCCAAAGATGCGACGGTCGTGCAGGCCGAGGGGTTGGCCTGAGACGTCTTCGCCACTTCTGATGATGGCGCAGTGATGTAGGGGGGGGAGCTGAAAATGAGGCTCTCGCCCCAGCGCCTCGCACAGTCGTCTCAAGGCTTGCACCGGTTACACTGGTGGGGGTCTGCCGCGTACGCTCGTCTGAAAAACTTGGAGCATTGCACACTACAGATGGAGACCAGTTAGAAATGGGGCAATCGCCTTGGCGCCGCATCCATCAACGGTACATGCCTGCAACCGTCACAATCATCGAGGACAGTTGTTTTCAAAATGGGGTTTTCGTCTTCGCGCCGCGCTCAGCTGCCTCAACCTTGTGAAGGCGACGCTGATGGAGAGCGTGGTCGTTTTGCGACGCATTCGACTTCAGCACTTGTAACGGTTACAATGACGTAGAGCGGGTGGTTTTCAAAATGGGGCTCTCGCCTTCACGCCGCCCGCATTCATATGATAAGCCTGCTAGATGTACAAAGATTGAGGACGGTTCCGTCTCAGAACACGGCTCTCGCTTCAGACATTCTAGAATCAAGCGGCCAGAAAATCGAACGGATGCAGGAAATACACGGGTGGAAGGCGGAACCTGTGCGGAATGGGGCTCGCGCTGTAGACATTCTCAAATGTCGAGGCCTGAAGTCTGGGTAGTCGAAGCCAATCTGGCGCCAATCTGGCAGGCCCAATCTGGCAAACGGGGGCAATCTGGCGAGGGAGCCAACGCGAATCCAGTCTGGCGAATAACCCAAATCCTCCAGTTTGGCCGGGCCAGATTGGCCCTTGGGGCCCAATCCAATCTGACAGTCTGGCCTTCGACTACCCAGGAAGTCGAAACGACGGAACAGTTACACGCATGGAGGGGGGCTCGTCTTTCCAAACGGGGCCCTCGCTGGACACACACCGTTGGACTTGATGACCCGACTGGCTCGCAGTCCATACGCACCGCTAAAGAGACGAAGGGCAGTCGGTGCTCAACAGGGGCATTCAACGGTGGGCGTGTTCCAAGGGGACGTGTCTCTTGATGGGTTTGGGACGGGCGGTGTATTGCAACATGTTCTGGCACATCATGGGTTGACTCTGGTCCTCCTCCTCCTCCTCCTCTGTTGGGCCTTCGGAAGAAGCACGAGAAAGACGGACAAGGAGTCGAAAGGCCAAAAAGGATACGAAGGAGGAATCG